CCCCGCTCTGCATGGCAGTCCTGGAACGCTGCATGGCTCACCTGTTCATGCCTGTTTTCTCAACCCTAACAGTAACAGCGAGTGTCTCAGGTGACCACTAAATCCTCTTCAGTTTGAACATCCTGGTACTCAAGAAGCACTAATTGCCATTGACTGACTTGTAAGATTGGAGTATATGCCTGACTACATTTTAGTTTTATCAAGTAATAATATTTTTTGCAGAATGCTAATGAATGTTTCTTAGATAAAAATGGTAGGAGGCTGAAGCAGGAAGAATTAGAGTGCTAGGTCATCCTGGGCTGCTTAACAAGTGCAGAACTAATCTATGCTACACGGTGAAACCCTCTCTCACCGAGGGCGGGGGAACTAGCTGTGAAAGTCACTTATGAAAAATTATAGGAGCTGCTTTTTTTTAAAGGATTTGTTTTTATATGTCTGAGCTGTTTGCCTTCATTTATGTGCCTGGTGCCTGCAGAGGCCAGAAATCAGATCCCCTGGAACTGGAGATACAGATGGTTGTGAGCCACCTTGTGGATGGTGGGAACTGACTTGGTCTTCTAGAAGGCCAACCAGTGCTCTTAACATCTGGCCATCTCTCGCCTCCTACCCCACCACCATCCTTCAGCCATTAACTATGCAAGTAATTGTTGAATGTGAACAGTGGGCATTTAGTTAGCTGCTTTGAGATGGTGTCCTTAGCTTGAATATGTAAATCGGAGTGTTCTTGTTAGAAAAGCAAGTGAGACTGGAAGTGGATTGTGATGACAGCGTTTGTGAATTGCAGCTGAAATCCTAGTGCAGAGGAGGAAGTGGCAGGAGCCAGCCTGGGCTACAGGAGACCTGTCTCACACAACAAATTGGGGTTGTATTGTGACTAGCTCACAGTCGTTGAGAAGTTACAAGGTGGGAGGGGCGTCCCTTTGCTGGTTCCTCTCTCATTGCATTTCTCTGTTCTGTTGCAGGCTTTCTCATTGCATTTCTCTGTTCTGTTGCAGGCCTGAAGTGCAGTAGCTGCGAGCCCTTTGCAGCTGGAGCCAACAACCTTTCGAGGTCCAACTCAGATGAGAGCAACTTCTCTGAAAAACAGAGAGCGGCATCCACTGTCATGTACCATCCCGAGGGGGAATCCAGCACCACCCCCTTCTTCTCTACCGAGTCATCTCTGAATTTGCCAGTCCTGGAAGTTGGCAGAACTGAAAACAGCAGCTTCTCCTCAACCACCCTTCCTCGACCTGGGGACCCCGGGGCACCCCCTTTGCCCCCAGATCTGCGCTTGGAAGGAGGATCTTGTGGAAACTCAAGTGAAATCTTTCTCCCCTTACGATCACGTGCTCTTTCACGCCAGTGACACATCACTGCCTAGTCTTTTAATAGTGATGGAAATGTTGTAAATGATAGGATCTTTTTATAAAAACCACTCACAGTTTATAAAAAGTTCACTCACATCCGATATGTGTCTTTTAAATCACAGTGTGCACACTCTCTGTAAATAGGATTTGTTAGAGTAAAAGAGCACACTCTAGGGGTAGCTGGATGTAAATCACGGGTGTGCGCTTTTCCATATTGTCTTTTTTTTTTTTTAATTTTTAGTTGTTTAGTATTTTTAACTCTTATGTTATAAGACTAATTTTATCAGAATACTTCTCAATTTGAGAAATCAACTCATGGGCTGAGAATACTGTTTCTCAGCACACTTATGCTACAAATTCTCAGATCATTTCCCAGTGACCTGGCAGTCCATTTCAGCAGGAAGCTGTTCTGACTTGCAGTAAAGCCAGGCCGTGGACAAGCTGCCCAAACGCTAAGGAGGATCTCCCACTCCTTGGTTCTGAGAAGCCTTCGGGTTCTAAAGAAACACCTGATGGCACTGAGCCACCTGTGACCTCAGTTGGTCAGAAATCACTCTGGACTGCTCTTGCCAATTGGTGCGTCTATCTGGAATCTAGAGTCCTTGTGTCACCATTCTTGTCCCTAAAGAATATTGTCCCAAGCCGAGGTGGTGCACGCCTTTAATCCCAGCACTTGGGAGCCAGAGGCAGGCAGATCTCTGAGTTCAAGGCCAGCCTGGTCTATAGAGGGAGTTCCAGGACAGCCAGGGATATACAAAGAAAAAAAAGGAATGTTATCCCAATAGGATACTACTTGTAATTAATATTACTTGTAACTGATTAAAAATATTTCCTCTGAGCCTTTCAGTCTTTTTCAATGAACACTGCTCTATGGATAAAGTAACTGGCACAATTGATTTTGGAATGTGTGACAATTGTGTTTTTAATATTTTTATCAAGCAGCCACTAGCTACATCAGTTTTTATTGTATTACAAAGTTTGACTAACTTTACACATTTAAAAAATGCTGATTGTTTTCATTTAAATTATAATTTTACATATTTCCTGATATCCACCTCCTGTATATTTCTATTATTTAAAAATTAAGAAATGAAAAGTTGCTATTAACAATAAAATTTTTTTTAAGGTAGTGATGTTTCAGAGTCAAAAACTCAAAATGTCTGGTTTCCAAATGTCTGACCCTTTTTTATACTGGTTTTTAAAGTAGAAAACAGTATTTCAAAGCCAGATGTGTGTACATGCTACAATTCTTGGGCGCAGGAGGGTCTTGGGTGCAGGAGCGTTGTAAGTTTGAGGTTACACAGTGAGTTCCAGGTCAGCCAGAGCCCATTGTCTAGACTGTCTGCAGAAGTGGTGAGGGGGTGAGAGGAGTGTTGGGAAGAAGAGGAGGAGGAGGGGAACATAAAATGGGAAGATGGCAGTGACTCAGTCGGATATAGTTTGTTACTAAGTTAATGGATACGGTAGTAAGAAGTTACTTTTCAGGAAAACCAGATTAACACAGTATACAAATCATACCTCCGCATTCACTTTTTTATTGCTTTTTTAAAAAGTATGCTTTTTGTACAGTTGTAGGTTTAACAGAAAAATTGAGCAAAATAATTTGTTAAATACTTCTTCCTCCCTGTTTCCCATACTTCTTTTACTGGTGTGATAACTTATTAAAGTTGGTGAGCCAATAACATTGATACATTGTTATTAACCAAAGTCCATATTTGGGTCCTCCATTGTATAAGTTGCAAGTTTTTAGAAATATGTATTACAAATCTACCCAAAAAGTGTCATAACCAAATAGTTAATTTCACCGCTTTAAAAAAATCTTTCCTGGTGCATCTGTTCAGCCTCCCCTCATCCCAGTCCTAGCAAGCATTGACCTTTTCTAGAATGTCTATTGTTGGGGCATAAAGAACAGAGCAGTCTCGGGCTGCTTTCAGCTCCTCAGGCTTTTCAAGGTGTTCCGTGAAGAGACTCATCCTTAGCATAGTACTTGAAGGGTTAGGCCAGGATGGTGGTGGCAGTTATTAAGTTAGGCTGGCTCTTTGTTTTGTTTTAAATCTAGCTTTTTAGTTTTGTTTACATTTTTCACTTGTTGATTAAATAACTGTGTGTAGGATGTGTGTGAGTACTTGTGTGTGTGTGTGTGTGTGTGTGTGTGTGTGTGTGTGTGTGTGTGCGTGTGTGTGCGCGCGCGCGCCTGTGTCTGGAGGCCAGAGGTCGATGTCTGGTGTCTTCAATTGCCCTCCATCTTACTTTTTGAGACAGCGACTGGCTCCCCCTGGAGCTCACCGTTTGGCTAGCCTGGCAGATCCTGGGATCCTCCTGGCTCTGTTCCCCCATGCCCTAGGGTTACAAATGTATACCACTACATCCAGCTTCTGTGTGGTGTTGGGAACCCACACTGGGTGAGCGGATGTGTGCAGCAGGCACGTCACTGACAGCCATCTCACCAGCCCCTGCTAATCAACTCTTTGAGTCCTTATTTGTAGTGCTAGAGATTTCTATCTCCTGTCCAAGAGACTTGACCATCCCAGCATCTTGGTGCTGCTTTCGAGTTTTCTGGAAATTCTGTTGTTTTACTTATCCATTTTGCTCTCATTCCTGGTTGGTTGGTTTTTGAGACAGAATTTCACAGTAACCTGTGGTGGCCTGGGATGTCTGATCCTCAGGCATTCACTGTCATCTCCCCAGGGCTGAGATTCCAAATACGCACCTCCACACCAGAACTGAGGATGATTTGGGGGACGCCAGCACTTTGTACAGAGAACATTTTTGTCTCTGCCAGTCTAGGTACTTGGATGGAACTTATTTTGGAAACACTTAGACCTATTTTCTCATAAATTATAATCCAACAATATTCATTGATGTAGTCCATGGACAGCCACCAAAATAAATACTAGGAATATAAACATGAACAAGGCAGTCTAGCCCCTTCCATTGTCCCATAGAATTCAGAAGTTAAGAATCATACAGAAGGCCGGGCAGCACTCTGGAGGCAGAGCCAGGCGGATCTCTTGAGTTCGAGGCCAGCCTGGGCTACCAAGTGAGTCCCAGGAAAGGCGCAAAGCTACACAGAGAAACCCTGTATAAAAAAATAAAAAAGAATCATATAAAATGGCAAGTTGTTAATGAATGTGTCGACTTTGACCAGGGATCCTTAACTGGGATCTAAATAGATACAATGATACCAACTTCATTAGGAGAGGGGGTAAAATTACCACACTGGCCTCTAGCTTGTGGCAATCTTCCTGCCCTGTCCTCCCAAGGGCTGGGGTGAGAAGTGTGCGGTCCCACTCCCCCATGCTTGTTCTTACTGTTGTTTTGTTCTGAGACAGTGTCTCCTACATAGCACTAAGCTGGCAAGGAGCCCCTTGTGTACACCTCTCTGGCCCTCAAATTTGCAGCAGCCCACCCGCCTCAACCTGGGATCATAGGCATGCCTCACTAGGCCTGGCCTTTCTGTGTCATAATTACCAGCCGAGAGTTTGGCTGTGGTCACTGGTACAGATCTAGGGTTCTCTGGGGAAAAGCAAAAGTAACCTTGCCCGGGATTGTGGGATCCCCGCCTCCAGCCTCTTTCCCTCCGCCCAGGAGTAGGTGCGCAGCACCGCCGCTAGGGGACGCAGACGCATCACTTGCCGGTCCAGCGACGGGGCGGGGCCAGTCGCGGCTTCCGGCTTCCGGCCGAGAGGGTGGTCGGCCGCCGCCGTCATGGCAGCTGAGGAGAAGGACCCCCTGAGCTATTTCGCGGCTTACGGGAGCAGCAGCTCCGACTCGTCGGGCGAGGAGAACAGCGAGCCGGAAGACGGGGGTCGCAAGGAGGCGGCGCCGGCTCCGACGGCGGGCGGCCGCGGGAAGCCGGCGGAGAAGCGGCTGCCGGGCCCCGAGGAGCTGTTCCGCAGCGTGACCCGGCCGGCCTTCCTCTACAACCCGCTCAACAAGCAGATCGACTGGGAGCGGCACGTGGTGAAGGCGCCCGAGGAGG